GATTTATTTTAAATTAATATCTAAGAGGAATTTATTAGAAATTCATGTCACTTCAAAACTCACAACTGAACAAAAATTGCATTCAATTTATCATGTTAATTGTTTCTAATTATTTCTTCCATAGTGTTAAAATTTTCTTAGAGATATGCAGTGAAAGACTATTTGATGTAAATTAATGCTTCATGAATTACCATTATTTTTTATTCAAATCTTTTGTGGAATAAATTAAGACAATTAAAAAAAATAAAATGTGACATCAATATGCCTAAGCATGATAGTTTTAATTATAAATCTATGAGATAAACTTAAAATAGTTATGAAAAATAGTTGAGATTTGAGCCAAGAATAAAATTCTGCCTACTAAATATAACAGAATAAACTGAATGACTGTGTTTGGCTTTATATTTTAGCATATCTGCTTAATATAATATTTACATCTATTTAAACCTGATTGATAGCAAGGATAAAAGAAACTCTCCCCTTTATGCTTCTAGGATTTGGATCAGATATGCCTTAACAATATTACAGGAAAATGAATCACATGTTCACATATTCAGTAGCATAACTTTGAGGATAAAATAAAATGATAAATTATTTAAATGCAAATAAATACACATCATTGATAAAATATTGATAGTATGAGTAAACATAGATTAATTCTGTTTTAAACCAGCCTATTGTGTTTTTGTTATATAGCAGACCAAAAGTTCTCAAATCCATTCAAGTAAATTATCAGAATCCCTAAAACCTCATTATAATTCTTCCTATTTATCACAGCAAAGCTCCAGGTAAGTTTATACATTTGTCCATCATTCTCAATAGCATGAATTTCAGAATAGATATGTAGATACTGTTCTAACTGTGCTCATCTCAGATTCCAAAATATAAATGCAGGGAAAAAAAGGCCCTAATGAATGATCAATAATAACTTAGGGCTCCTCTATACTGGTGGACAGGCAGGAAAAGTTAAATCATCAAGATAAGGGTATGGGTGCCTGGAATGAAGAAATCAAAGAGAAAGAGAAAGAAAGAGAAAACAGGAATAGGAGACAGGATGGAAGTAGGGAGGGAAAACACAAAGACCGGACTAAAATATATTTAGACTGTAGATCTTAGTCTGGTGTTCGTTACTGTGTGGACCTGGGGAATAATTCTCTGTTCTCAGTAATTTAGCATCCTGACTTATAAATAAATGAGGAATAAAGATATTTTTAAGGCTTTCCAGATCTAAAGCAACCAGATCTACTGTAACCTTCCCTGAAGAAAACTTTCCTATTTCACAGAAATGAGAGGACACAGAGCACTCCACAGGTGTACCAATAGTATCCAGCTTAAACTATCAACAGAGCTTGGTTCTCAGTGCCTTATGTTCATTCATACCAATAAATTTTTTACCCTTAATTACAAACATGATTTTAAAATACTCCTCTTTTATCTGAAAGCCCTGGAAAAACAGACACATAAATAATTCTTATAAATAACGAGGATAAAAATAACAGAGACAGGAGACGGAAGGAAGGAAGGGAGGGAGAGAACGGGGGAGGGAATAACTCAGAGGGCAGAGCCAAGAACCACTGAATGAAACTAAGAACCACATGGGGCACCTGGGTGGTTCAGTCAGTTAAGCATCTGACTTTGGCTCAGGTCATGATCTCACGGTTTGTGGGTTTGAGCCCCATGCCGGGCTCTGTGCTGACTGCCAGCTCAGAGCCTGAAGCCTGTTTCAGATTCTGTATCTCCCTATCTCTCTGACCCTCCCCTGCTCACGCTGTCTCTTTCTCTCTCTCAGAAATAAATAAAACATTGAAAAAATAAAAAAAAATTAAAAAGAACATTCCCTCCCCTTATTATAAGGGATCCTGACAACATCCAGTTGTACTTCAAAATCACAATGGACCAGTAACAGCTGTGTTCCCAGCCTTTAGGAATGGGAAATCTTTTACAATTTTCCTGTCCCTATCCCATGTGTTGTGTGAGGAGTGTTAATTTATCTTTTTAGTTCTTATTTCTCCAGATCAAGAGGAACTTGAGCTATAAATCTTCATTTACATCTGGAACTGTTTTTAAGAGTGCTCTTCTGGACTCCAGCATGATGCCACAATGGAGTAAATGTTTGGGACAGTGTGTGAGGTTGTGTGCATGAAGGATGAACACTCATCTTGAGAATCCAGAGACTGGACTGTAGTATACTGTCACATTGCTAACTCCCTATAAACATACTTCCAGTAAACACCCCGTTCTAAAATTCCCCTCATATACCCACTCTTTATCTGGCCATGTGAAAAACTCTCTCTTATGGTAGCCACTGTATTATAAAAAATCTTAGACTAGATTCTTAAATGATGGGACCCCATACAGAAAGAAACTCTGGAAGCTAAGAGGTCATCTTAGACATTCCAACTCTGGTCAACCTCAATAGCTGACTTTAGCTGCATTACTGACCTCTGCTTACCCTACAGCAAAAGAATTAACCAACTGAGCCCTGAGAAATCATAAATCAGTGTGGTTTTGAGCTAATAAATTGTGGGTTGTTTTATCTCTCAGTAACAATAGATAACTAAAACATAAGGTTTATCAGTATTTATCTCTACCAACCTACCAGAAGTGATTAACAGAGAAGTACTAAAAAATGTTATTAGCTCAAATTAACTGTGTGTATGTGTGTGTGTGTGTGTGTGTGTGAATGCATATACACACACACATATATATATACACACACATATACATTATATATGTGACCATATACTTACTTGAGCTATGGTTTTATTCATGTAAGTCCCAATTAATTTACCATTTAGTTTACATGTACTTCAAAGATTTGGTTGTAAAATAAGTTGTTGACAGATAGCAACAGAATCTAATAAAATTTATTACCAAAGTTAATAAAAGGGCAATACAATGCATCAAAACACTTAAATAAGCACTCTAAAATGGAAACTGGTGGTAGTATAAGATACCTCTATCCAAAAATGACGTAGCTGACTTCCCCTGTGCTTTTAAATAGTAATGTATTGTATTTAATTGGAACCAAGCATATGTGCATGTTTTTAATATTTCTCCATACTTTGCCATGAGTTGATTACAAAACTGCTACTTTATTTATGGATAAGGCAACTGTGATTTCAAAGTTAATAAGCCATGGATTTAGAATTCAAGCTTAATTCTTCCAATTTCTTCCATCCACTACAAGATGATGAACATTGTATTATATCCATTCTCTCATGTTTTTACAATCAAATAAGTTAAAATAAAGATAACAAGCCATAAAGTAGATGAATCTAGGAGTAGCTCTACATAAGCTGATAATGATATCATTTGTCCAAAATCATCCTTATCTAACAACTGAAAGAATTTTAAGGTATATAAATAAGGATAAAATTCACAAAGTAAATGTATTAACTAAAAAAAATCTAGCCATCAATAATTGACACTACCTTTTATTCTGTGATTAATGCCATAAAAATACAAATATTTAATCAAAGCTAATCACATAAATCCTGAGGAATACTCTTTAGATATTTTAAAATCTTTATTTTAACCAATGAATTCCCAGCTTCTTCCTAATTTAAAACATGGTAAAAGTACATGGTTAGTATGAGTATCCTCTGCACTTATTATCCTCTTAATCCCACTGATTATTCATATATATTAATCTTTCTTCAGTTTATTTTCCAACATATAGAAATGTTTTATAAAATTCCTTCAAAGAATCATTTCTGACTATTCAATTCTAAATCCTTGTTATGGGTGAATAAAAACTTTGAATTAAATCTATACTGATAAACTGCAATGAAACATCTTTTAATAAATAGTGGAGGACACCTGCTTCAGGCTTTATAAAAAATGTACCACAGATTCTATACAAATAATAATATTTTTAAATAACCAAATATAATCATTACAATTGACTAGAATTAGTGAACCTTTCAACATTCAAGAACCCAAGTGTTTTATAAATAGATAAAACCTTTAAAAATTCACATATATTTCCCATGACCCTTATATGCATACAAGCATGTTTTTTCTTATTTATTCTCATCCTTTTTAAAGAACAACAATATGGCACTAACAAAGAAATAAACAAACTTATAAATCATTTACCATTAAGAGGGAAATATTTGTACTAAGTTAACACTTATCTACCATAATTTTATTTCTATATTTGTGTTTTCATTATAAGACCTTAATCCAAACACAATTAATCTCTTTGTAAAAATTTTCAATGTATAAATTATTAGATTAATAAGTCCTTACAGAATTATTCACATATAAAGAAAAAAATGTTCCACCTTGAAAATTATAGGTATTTTATTATCATAACAATGTGAAAGGTACAGTTCTAACTTAATTACCCTTGGTTGTGTCAATATTCCCCGACAGATCTTACAAAAATATTACTATTAAAACAAATAAAAGGTAATTTGTTATATGAAGGAAATTGTATTTAATAGTAGCAAAACAGAAATTAAGCTCTGATGTAGACACTACTCAATCACCAAACACAACATTTGCATAAACTATCCTATATGTTTTTGAAACATATATGTGAATTTATCACTTATTTAAATATAATTTCATCTTCTCTATGTACTATATAATTACTACACATAAACATGAGAAAATTATTTTCAAACTATCTTTAAATGCCACATTCTCTACAAGGCATCAAAACATGAAAGTTCAGCAAATGTTCATTTTGAATCTTTTTGATTTTTTGTTGCTGCTATTAATGTTACTTTCCTTTATAAAAATTAGGTAAGTACAGCCATTCATATAGTTTAACTAGTTTGCCAAATTCAATATGGAGAAACACTTGTCATGGTATAAAATTTATTTTATATTTTCATATATCCTCTCTGGGAGGAAAAGTAATAAACTATCCTATAGTTAATAATTTATTCCACAATTAATTCTACCAGTAATAGTATTTGAAAATGTATTATTTGAAAATAAATGTATAACAATTTACCTTTTCAAAACATCATTAAATGCATGATAAATTATTTGAATGTTTCTTTCTTACCGTGACAAGAACCTTCAATTTCTTCATATCCTGTACTGCAGATACACCTTCCAAGAGGAACCAACCAATCTCCATCAGCTCCACAGTATAGTTTAGGAGTGTCTCGCTCTTCTGCACTCTTCACACAAGAGCCCCTTACTTCAACCAAAGAAGAAGAATCAACCCTTGGGATGGTGTCAGGAAACATAGCCAAGTTACGAACAGTGAAGGGGCACTTTTTGTAGAAAACACGGACGGAGACCAAGGCAATGCATGCCCCAATGTCCTGAAAAGCCAGATAAAATCCTTTCCTTTCTATAGGACCCACCTCACGAATTTCCGTGTTTAGCTTCAGGATACGATCACCCAAATCCATCTGGGTAAAACTTTCATCAGCAGCAATTGTGTCAATCTTTGTATACTGGCTTGGCTTGAATTTAATTCCATGGGACTCATCTGATTCCACATAATAGAGATTAAATGTTTCTTTGCAAGTCCCCAAAACCCATGGGATGCTGTTACAATCCCTTAATGTAAACTTCATTTCCACATAAATTTTCTGAGCCGCATCACGGGAGATCCAGTTTGTGCGAAGCCAGTTGTTTTGGTTTGGTTCCATTACATTGCATACCTGGTATGTGTGAATGGGCCTATTATGTTCATCCATTTCAGTGATGGCATCCCACTGCAAGAAGGAAACAAAATAAGTGATTATAAAACCACAGTGGCTAAGCAGATATGACTACTTCTGAAATTTTCTGTTCTAGCAAAGAAACATTAATAAAAATGATACAAATGAAGCTATTCAAACCAACAATGCAGCAGAATTTTAACCATGAACCTCTGATTAAGAATGCAGGGGCGCCTCGGTGGCTCCATCAGTTTGAGCATCCAACTTTAGCTCAGGTCATGATCTCACAGTTTGTGGGTTGGAGCCCCATGTCGGGGCTGACAGCTCTGACAGCTCAGAGCCTGGAGCCTACTTTGGATTCTGTGTTTCCCTCTCTTTCTGTCCCTCTCCAACTCATGCTCTGTCTCTGTCTCAAAAATAAATAAACATTAAAATTGTAAGGGGTGCCTGGGTGGCTCAGTTGGTTACGTGTCCGGCTTTGGCTCAGGTCATGATCTCACGGCTTGTGAGTTCTAGCCCCAAGTCGGGCTTGTTGCTGTCAGCTCAGAGCCAAATTTGGAATTTGGCCTGCTTCAGAATCTATGTCTCTCTCGCTCTCTGCCCCCTCCCCTGCTCATAATCTGTCTCTCTCTCTCTTAAAAATAAACTTTAATTTAAAAAAAAAATGTAAGAAAAATGTAGGTTTTGATGTGACTGGGTGGCTCAGTCAGTTAAGCGACTAAATCTTGACTTCAGCTCAGGTCATGATCTCATGATCGTGAGACTGAGCCCCACATCAAGTTCCATCTGATGGAGCCTGCTTAAGATTCTCTCTCTCCCTCTCCCTCTGCCCCTACCCTGCTTGCACTCTATCTCTCTAAGTGTAAATAAAATAAATAAACATTAAAAAAAGAATGTAGGTTCTGGACATACCAACTGTCCTAGTATGAATCTTACCTTCCCACATACTAATTATATGACCAAGGGCTATTTAATGTAAATTCCGTTTTCCTTATCTGTAAAGTGATGCTGATAATAGTACATGTTTCATAGAGTTGCTGTAAAGCATAAGTTATTTAATATATGTAAAGCAATTTAAATAGTTCCTGGTACTCTAAGGAATGTAAAATAGCACCCATTATCTGATCAAAATAACTAGACTGATGACACACTCTGGTTACCCACCTGCCTTCATATCCAATTTGTCACAAATTGAGATATAGTCAGCAGTATTCAGTTAAATATTTACATGTCTATTTGATAGAAAATAGACATATATAAGGCCATAGATTTATTCAAGGAATATTTATGAGGCACTATTCTGGACACTGGGAATATAGCAGTGAACTAGCTGAATCTTGCTTTTATGGAGCTTACTTAGAGTAGGGACAATAAAAATCACAAATGAATAAACTGAAAAATATGGTAGAATGTACAATGGGAAAATTAAGGCAAGAAGACAAAGAAAAGGTTTGCAGTTTTACATAGGGTAGCCAGAAAAAGCCTTACTGAAGTGGTAATAGCTTTTTTTTTAATGGTTACTTATTTATTTTGAGACGGAGACAACCAGACAGACAGACTGAGCACGGGAAGGGCAGAGAGTGAGAATCCTAAGCAGGTTCTGTCTGCCCTGTCAGTGCAGAGAGTGACTTGATCTCAACAACCGAGAGATCATGACCAGAGCCCAAATTAAGAGTCAGATGTTCAACCAAATGAGCCACCCAGGTGTCCCCTGAGGTGGTAACATTTAAGCAATATGATGGAGGTAAGAGAGTGAACCTTGCCAAGAGGAAACGTAAGTAGAAATTACCTTCAGTCAGAGTATACAGGTATATTTTAGGAACAGAATGAATAAGCACTGGAAGTACACTAGGTAACAGGGCAGAAAAAGAAAGGGCAAAACTAAAGCCTTTATAAGACTTTTAAGCACTTTAGCTTTTACTCTGAGCTGGATCATTGGATTATCTTCACTTCTACATTGAGCATTCTGCCATTTATTTGTATAGAAAAACTTTATCTTTTTTTTTAATTTTTATTTATTTTAAAAATTAATGTTTCTATTTTATTATTGAGACAGAGAGAAACACAGCATGAGTGGGGGAGGTCAGAGAGAGAGGGAGATATAGAATCCGTAGCAGGGTCCAAGCTCTGAGCTATCAGCACAGAGCTTGATGCAGAGCTCGAATCCATGAACTGCGAGATCATGACCTGAGTCAAAGTCGGCCACTTAACCGACTGAGCCACCCAGGTGCCCCTGTTTATCCTTTTTTTAAAAAATTAATAAAAATCCTTAAGTATCTTGAAATAAATTGGTATTGTCTGTAGTTACACATCTAATATTGATAATTCCACATGATAAATTTAAATTGTAATTGTATTTTATTTGTATAGTAACTGATAATTTTCAATAGATTAAAAACAAACAGCTATGGTAATTTTAAAGCCTTTTTGGAAAAACATGTTAGTCATCATAATTTCTCATTTCTATTAACATATACTGGAAATAATAAACTATTTTCTATAGTGAATATGTATTTTACTTCTTAATACCATCCTTCAGTGATTTATAATAAGATTATTTAACACATTCTGTGTGCAGTTTCTTACTTTAATTGGCTATAGAGTCACTCAATCAAGATTGGTTGAATTTCAATTAGTAGTTTCTAACAGAATGACTACTTTCTTGAGTCTACAGTACAGTTATGACACTTAATAGCCTTCAGTATTTACTATACATTTCCATGAAGAAAGAATTGAAAACTTAAAAACAATCTATATCTGGGGGCACCTGAGTGGCTCAGTTGGTTGAGCGTCCAACTTCAGCTCAGGTCATGATCTCATGGTTCATGGGTTCGAGACCCGCGTGGGGCTCTGTGCTGACAGCTCAGAGCCTGGAGCCTCTTTCAGATTCTGTGTCTCCTTCTCTCTATGACCCTCCCCTGCACATGCTGTCTCTCTCTCTCTCAGAAACAAATAAGTAAAACATTTTTTAAAAATTAAAAAAAAAAACAATCTGTATCTGAATATTCATTTACAAGTTGCTAGCTTGAAATTGAGAGGACATTGTCCATAAGAAACATTAAGTTCCTTTGGAACTGTGGATATAATTTTGCAAAACACCCCTGATAAACATAGTAGTGATTCAATGATCTCACAGAGATACATGCAATTATTCATCTAAATGTTTTTCATTCTAGCAATCATGGGTCTTATGTGACTTTTACACTTGGATTTAAGACAGCAATAGTTCATTTTTATTTTCAATTATTTTTTGGAGAGTGCAAGTGGGGGAGGTGCAGAGAGAGGAGGACAGATGATCTGAAGCAGCCTCTGAACTGACTGGCTGACAGCAGCAAGCCTGATTTGGGGCTTGAACTCACGAACCATTAGATCATCACCTTAGCTGAAGCCAGACACTCAACCAACTGAGTCATCCAGATGCCCCATCATAGCTCATTTAATAAACAAACTAACCATTTTCAATATAAGCAGTGAAACAAGATGAAAAGAATAAAATCTGTGAACTCTCAAAAGCAGTATCCAAAACTCTATGCATTTCACCCATTGGAGAGCCTCTGAGGGTACTCAACCAATTATTATCCTTATTTGAGATAATTTCTAACAAGAACTGATTGTTTCTCAGGAAATACATGTCTATACCATATCCTCAACTCTCCCATATAGAATAATAGGGCTATATTTTCAATAATTTCTATTTAAATAATTACATTTTAAAATCTTCACACTATATCTCTTCATATTAATAAAAAGTACTAACTATAGTCATCACAACTACTTCTCCTAAAATAGGAGATTTAACTAAAATGTCAAAAATTGTCTCTTGTGACAAAAATAAATTCTGAAATCATTTTATATCTTTATTTAAAAATGTGTTGGGTTTAGAGAAAAATAGATGAAAACAAAGGTCAGGAATGAGAAGAATATAACATATATTCACTGAATCAAATCTGAGCTGAATGAAGGGATGAGGAAATGACGAAATGTCCATAGATAATGAGAAATGTAGTTCTTAAAGAAACTGCACAAAGATTCTTAACAAAATGGTACATCATTTTCTGGGCTAAATTTGTGATATATGATGGTCATTAGTGTCTTTTCTTTCTTTTATTTAAAAAAAGAAATCAGAATTAGATTTGGGTACCGAAATAGTTAAAACAGATCAGTTGCTAAATTCCATCTTATCTAAAATATTCAAAGTAACTGAAATTAGATTTTTAAATTTGAATCTAACTAAAACAATATAAATTCAATATTGGTATAAGATCTAAAAGATTATGAGGTTTACAACTAAATATTAACATTAGCAGATGTAGAAATGTATGACACTTTAGTTATAATATAGCCTTCAGAAATATAGCATTTACACATAATTATATTTGTGTTTATTTAGTTACCTAACCTTTTTGTTATAATTTTAAAATATTAAAATAAATAAGGTCTCTAAAATTGTGGGGCCCACAGTAAGAGTGCTGATATGAGAGCTCATACACCGTATGTCTAAATATGTTAAAATGATAAATCATTCTTTAAATCAAAACAAATTCTAAGTATGCTCTCTTTGCCTACACTGCAAAGATACCTTCATAAAAACATGGAAGGCCAGGTTCGAATTTAAAATACTTGGCCTTTGATAAAACAAACTTTTGGGACTACATCAAAATAAAAAGCTTCCAGACAACAAAGAAAACAACCAACAAAACCAAAAGACAATCTACTGAATAGGAAAAACTATTTATAAATGACATATCCAATAAAGGGTTAGTATTAAAAAAAAAAAAACATTTACAACACCAAAAAAACAAACCAACAACAAAAAATTCAGTTATAAATGGACAGAAGACATGAACAGACATTTCTCCAAAGAAGACATACAAATGGCCAACAGACACATGCTCAAGATAATCATCATGAGGGGAATGCAAATCAAAACCATCATCTCACACACATCAGATAGGCTAATATCAAAAACACAAGAAACAAATGTAGGTGAGGAAGTCGAGAAAAGGGGAACTCTTGTGCACTGTTGGTGGGAATGCAAAATGGTGCAGTCTCTG